CGATGAGCTGCCACAAGAATAAGCTCTCAGTGTGCCTTCCATCGCTTACAGCGATTCAGGAGTGAGTGAAGGAGGATAGTAAAACTGACCGAATCTGGATAAATGACTTGTCTCCGAATGCTGATTTCATACTTTTGTACCGCGGGAATAACGCTTTTGGCGTTGATCATGTCGTCGTATTCCCGTTGACTGAGAAATTCATCATAGCTTTCCATAACACGATGGAAGCAATTACCGAAAAAGTGCATATACTGTGCCTGTGTTACATGGCCGAACGGGTCCTGATCCTCAGCCCAAATGATCCCGCGCTCAACCATAGTCCTAGGGTCGTAGCCCATAGCCTCGAGTTTATCAAGCGCGCTGCGACGCAGGGGCGCATACGGGTCGCCGTTAGGGTGAGGCAGCGGAGCGCCGGCATGGGAGTAGGGAGAATTGTAAGCCGACTCGGCCAATCGAGACTTGGCACTCTTGTCACTCATATCGTGTGTTATATTTTATGATATTATGTCGGTCGTTGTTGGATTAATCCAGAGAACTCGGGGAGGATATCGGAAACAAAGAAATGGCTGTTGGTTCTTTTCAGCATTACGTGTTATGGTAAAGTTGTAGGGGCGAGGGGTGCAGTCATGTACCCCACCTTTGCTTAAAACAACTGAAATGATCGCCCTGAAACTTTCCATGAAGACATGATTTTAATTCATACAGTGGCCCAGGCGCATGGTGTTGATTGTCATCGCATCCGGACTAGTAATCTAACAAAGAAACAGACAGAGCGGCGATGAGCGACAAACTTCAAAAGACACGGGCAGAACAAGGGTTACTAACCTCATCTAGTATCATGGGGTATAAGTTTAGTCCGACATCATTTTGATATCTCGAAATGGAAGGTCTAGAGTGAATATACGCTACAGAAAAGATTAACAGTGACTCAAATGAACAAAAAAGATAAAAAAAAATTTATTTTACTTGTTTCCTAAGGTATTTACAAATCTTCCATAGACTTGCGGGGGAAAAGTTCTTTATATCCCTTTCAATTCTCGAAAAGGTACCCATTTACTCTAGTATACTAACCCGACCAAAAACAAACACTTATCGACTACTGCGGCTTTTCGTTGTTTAATTAATTGTCTAGAACTTGTTGCTTGATGGTAGTTAAATATGGCAGTTAGGTAATATATATACCACCTTAGCACCGTAATCACTCAAGCAGCTGTCACTCGAATCTAAAGCCTTGTTCTCGTGATGGGGAAGGGAAGTGATGTATCCTGCTCGACTGTATATACCACTTTATATAACCGCACGAGAGCAGGCGGGTTCGAATACCGGGGTGGGTGGGGGTCTGCGACTATTTCTTTTTTTCTTGTTGTTGTTTTATACTTCACCACCTACAGAGGAAAATAGCAAGGCAGATTGGTGGCCAGTAACAAATATGAATCACATACTACATACAACTCATAGTCACCATCGTGGCGATCTTGTCCAACATTGAGGTTTTGACTATCTGTATTCATTATAAGGCGATATACCCTTTGGGAAATTAGAGATTAAAGATATACTCCCCTTCGATTTCGAGAAGGAGGAAGGTGTAGGACCGCCGTATTACGTGTATCAGTCACTCTCTCCACTCAAACTATTTTAGCAATTGTATTATAGGACTAAATAATCGGCCTCAACTCTGTCAATTCATCTATAGGATGTCTGCGGCTTGTAACCTGGTTGAGATCGTGTGATTCCTACTCGCTGCGATCTATAATGACCGCCTAAGGTGGGTCTATCAGTCGCACCGTTCGTGATTTCGGTCATTGAGATGTACTAGAGATGTTACTGAGTTGTATATTCAGCCATATAAATGGAGGGGGTTACCAGACGACAGATGACCAAGTCTAAAACTCGGCCTTCGGTGGGTGATCACCTCGCAGCTCAATATATAATGGTAGAAGGAGCCCAGCTAGTACTTCCCCGAACATAATGCGACTATCGTGTTCTGAAGCTCTGAGCAGACGAGATACTTGTATCCATATTCGCCTTCGTTTTTAGTCATAGCTCTAGCCGGGAGCGTATATTTGCCCATCCCCCAGTTCATGTTAAAAATAAAATGCAGTCAGAAAAGCCGGGCTTCTGGAAAAATGATTCCAATCGCCTCTCTTTTGAATGTCATCATTCTTCTGGTCCTAGTTCTAGCAGCCGTATTGTCACGATCTTAGAAGACAAAGGACCTGAAGTGTATATAGTTGCAGCCTAGTTCACGAAGAAGTTTAGCCTTCTTTGTGCGACAACAAGAATTCATGTAACCCCTATACTAAGGCTTCTGACACGTATGGAAGATGTCGAATCAGCGGTAGTCAGTTCAAGTCATGAACACTTCCCGGATCATCGCTAGCGCTGCATCAGTGGTTCTAGGAAACCAGAATGTTGACGTTCTCCCATCATATCAAGACTCTGTCCCCAGTAAAATTTTATCTCTCGCTTAAGGCTTTCATCATAAGTGCCCTTCTCCTCTAACCTCTAACAAGCTGTGATTCCCTTTGTTCTTGTTGAGAGTTAAGCCTTATTTCAACTATAGGATTTTACATGGCCCAACTACCCTAACCGCATTAGGTATTCAGGGTTTTTCCAGGAGTAAATAGCTAAAACATACCTAAAAATACCACTTAGATCTGAAAATAAGTGCTTATTTTGACCTTCGATTCAACATCCGACGTGATCTAGAACATGAGAGTGCCAGTTTATGTTGGTTGACAACAACAAAAAAAAACGTTTTTTACACAGCAGAAGCGCTTATTTGAAGGAGGTGGCCTCCTCGCTTTCGCACAAAGTTACGTCAGATTGGCGGGTATAAGATAGGCTAGTAATCTTCCACCTTGCGCGGGACAAGCTGAGCGTAAGGCGGTAAGGCTATGCTGACGCCAGCAGGACTTCTCGATCAGTAAACCTCTACTCTTCGCCTTTTGTAACACGAGATAATACCACGCTCAATGCAGGTCAGACGATATGTGTACTTAGTAAGCAATCGAGATTCCTAAGAGCGTTAGAGGTCCGCAGATCAAGCCTAGCTGACCGGCGGTTATATCCACTAGGGGGAGATCTAGCTTTCGCCGTTTCAGCATGATTGGCTAAACCGTTCGTGATGTAGTATCACGGGTACCTAGTGGCTCGTCAAAACTACTGTTGTGTAACAGGAGTCGAGCGGCTGCTTGGTAAATAAGTAAGGTAACAGATCTGGAATACACTACGTACCTGCTACTTCTGGATTCAGTGTCAGATTTTAGATATATCACTTAAAGGAGAGAAGCTGAATCGAGGTCTTGGTCAGCTTAGGAATATCTACTTATATATAATAAGAGCCGACCTGACAAACAAGGGCACATCTAAACTCATTCACCATCGCATACTTGTCGACAACACACACTCTCTTTGATCAGTACTCGTCTATTACCAATATGAAGCTCACTGGCAACCTCACCCTCCTCGCCTCTCTGGGCATGGCCGGGGCTCTCACTCCCAGTTGTGCGCCGGGAGGCAATTTCGATCTCAGCAAATGGGAGCTCCAACTCCCCATAGGCAATGGCTCGCCACAAATCGTTGAACCTGACCAACTTGTGGGCTGCAGCGGGTACCAAGATCCCGGTCACCACTATTTCTTCACGGAGAGCGGCGACGGCGCTCTCGTGATGAAGGCGCCTGGCACCCCTGCTAAGACGGGCTGCGTCAAGTTCGCCGAGAGCGATCACGTATGTAACCCCTTGGAGTCATTTTCTTCCTATTACAGCATATAAAACTCTTTAAACATCGACAATTCACCTGAAAGTATGACTACTGACTTTGGCGAAATAGTGCCGTACCGAGCTCGGAGAGAAAGCCACCTGGAGCCCCAACACAGGCACAAACAGACTATTTGCCGAGTTGGTGGGCACGAACGTGCATAACATCTGTATCGGGCAGGTGTTCCAAGCGGATAGTGGGTTCAACAAGCCCTTCGCTGAGCTGTACTACTCCAGCGACGGAAAGATTCAGTTTGGAACTGCGAAGGCCGCGGCCGGCGGTGCTGGACAGGATCTACAGCTCCTCGGAACGGTACCGGTGAACACGCGCTTCACGTATGAGGTTCGATTCGAAGGCGGCCAGCTCCTGGCGAGGATCAACAACAATGCGTTCACGACCTTGAGGACTTACTTCACTACCCCTAAGGCGTTCTTCAAGGCAGGAAACTACAATCAGGATCTAACAACTACCGATACCGCCGATCTGCATTTCTTCCAGTTGACGATTACGCATTAATGAGTGATTATACTGGGCGAGTGAGGAGTAACCAGACACGAGTGACGCCAGCTGATTTTCTCCAGCTACACCCTAGTATACCCCTTTAGTTCCAGCCAAAAGGTCCAAACATTCCATGTATATAGGGAGATAGGTGCTCTAGAAGTTGTTTTCGAATCGCCAAGTACCTTTTAAATTTTACGTACCCAAAGTACGAGGTTCCTGACAGTGCCCATTTCAACCCCGTGACTAAAAAAAGGGGAACTGCAAAAATCAGCTGCCGTAGCTATAGCGCTTCTTGCCTGCCACGTCTCTCTTCTCTCCAATTCCGTAGTTGGATTTGTCTCCCTTAACGGGAGGGCTTACCCGGTGAAGAAAACTCGATGAAATACAAACAAAAAGCTTAAAACTCCTATTATTTCCTAAAGGGAAAATATGAGAAATGGGGATAAAGGAGGGCTTACCCTTAGCAGATCGTAGCAACAAGGCTTCTCTTAGTGTATACATTAAATCTCTGTTACTTATTAAGAGCTAACACTAATACACTCAAAACGATATATGCAAAATTTCAAGTGTAGAAAGGTGTATAACACACCCGCAGATATATGTATATAAAAAAAAAATTAAAAAAGTGAAAAATAGAGGTTGCTATTCCTAGTGATCTAGGAGGCACAGGGAATTGAGCCCGATGCGGGGGTCGACTTTTTAATTTAAAATCGGTTAGTTGCATATTCTTGTTTAAGTGCATAGTTATGTATGTAAACTTACACCCGCAACCTTGAGATTAAGAGTCTCACGCTCTACCGATTGAGCTAACCGGGCGCTTGTTGGTGAATGCTCACTGCGCAAACACAGCTTAGATACTACCCCTCCTCAGGTCCGGTGCTAGGAGGTATGGACGAGTTTTTTTCCCTGAACGTGTGGTTGCTAGCCTAACCGATGACAGGGAGTAAGGTACTGGCGAGACTGGGTATTAAATGGATTCTCCACCCTCTGAGCTAGATTTAGTTAGTAGGCTGAGGAATCTGACGGCGGGTTATGTGTTCGACCACTGAACCTGCCCATCTAGAACGATTTTTCTGATATGCCCGAGGTATGACACATACCCCAAAATTGATGATCTATATGGCCTTTAACAAAATACCCAGTTGGCTTTTAGTAATGCATGACCTGGATTGGATTGAATTGAAGGCTGCTCTTAGTAAAATAGTAGTAGCTCGAACTAGGTATTGTTCACGAGAAGCGATATGGAATCGTAACAGGCACGAGATGAAGACTATTTAGACAAGTGAGATTACAACAACATATCACGATCTTAAAGAGACGGACGATCGAATGAAATCCTGTCCTTTATCGCATCGATAACGCTCGTCGCGATAATCAAGAGACAGGACATCACGTCCCGGAGACCTGGGACGTGACCGTCCCATCTATCCCTCCTCAGCCCGGAATGCGAACATCAATCAATGACAGCGCGCAGGCAAGACATATTCCCCATCAATTACCAAATCTGAATTCCAGCACCCACGAGGTTACCTGGAGCTAGTCCATCCCACTACTTAAAGTGAACAGAGTAAACAATCTGGAACAGCTAGCGCCTGCGCATTCTGAGACCTCTTTCCTGCATCTAGCGTAAGTGCGTGCCAGTCGCGTCGGTGAGACATTCAGGAACAGGCAAAGTGGAAGGATGTCTGCAGTGGCGTTTTTCTAATTGTAGGCATTGCATTGCTGAGTTGCAATGCAATGCCTCTAGAAGACGGGTAGCGCGTATGTTGGGTTTGTAATGGAAAGACAAGACAAGTAGGTTTAGGTAGGCGGAAGGGATGGACGGAGAGGTGTAAGGCAATTGAGGTCGTCGCGTCCAAGTGATAGGATAGCTTCAGTTGCTCTCTCCCCATCACGCGTGAAAGCTGGCTTCCACTTGAGAATTATTCCTTCGTTTTGTAGATTCAAGGCCGGATACGCATGCGGAAAGAATAGAAGCTTGTTGGTATGCGCGGACAAGACGGACAACACACCAGCGCAGCACGGATTCATCACACTCTTTCATGAACACACGGCCGGCGCGCTTGATCTTCGCATGAGAAAAAAACACATTCGTTATTTCTAAACTTCTTTTCTACGATGATGGTGACGCGGCGGCGGGCGAGTCCCCGTCGTGGCGAGACCATCACGGGTTCGCGCCGGTACTTGCAGCCATTCGTTTCAATGCAACTCGCGATCCTATTACTCGGCCTCGCGGCGCCCGTATTCGGAACGCCGATTTCGTACTTCCCCTTGAATTCGCAACTGCCGCCCGTGGCGCGCGTCGCGGAACCATTCTCGTTCAGCTTTTCGTCCCTGACTTTCTCGTCCGATGAAGAGATGAGCTACGCGCTGGCCGACGGTTCACCTCCGTGGCTTTCACTCGATAGCGCGTCCCGAACACTCTCTGGCACCCCGGACGATGCCACGATACCGCCGGGCGAGACGCTAACGGGCGTGGTAATCTCGCTTATAGCCAGCGATGGTACGGGGTCAATGGCCGTGAATGCAACGCTCGTCGTGTCGCGCGGCGCAGAACCCGTTGTACGCATACCTCTCCTGGATCAGATCAAGAAATTCGGACCGTATTCCGCCCCTGATTCCGTGTTGCTCCGCCCGTCAAGTGAGTTCGAGTTCGAGTTCGATCCAAATACTTTTGGCGCCGGTGTCGCCAGAAGCGGGAATGATCAGAACAAATCCAACAACGGGAGACGCAAGACTCAAGATGTCAAAAGGGCAGCAGATGGGGAAATGAGTGGAACAGAGCCACTGCAGCTGAGCTATTACGCAGTGTCGGGCAACAATGCGCCCCTCCCATCTTGGGTTGCGTTCGACCCCGAAAAACTCGCCTTCTCGGGCAAAACACCGCTTTCCGAGCTCCTTGCGCAACCGCCTCAGAGGTTTGACTTGAAGTTGGTAGCTTCGGATGTTATTGGATTCTCAGCAGCCTCTATCGGATTCTCAATCACGGTTGGCAACCATGAGCTTACTACCGACGAGCCTGTTATCAAAATAAACGCCACGAGGGGTAAAAAGCTTGAGTACACAGCATTACCCAAAATATTAAAGCTAGACGGTCTACCCCTTAAAGCAGACAATATCTCTGCGATTAAAGCGGAGGAACTGCCAGGGTGGCTCACCTTTGACGAAAAATCTTGGGAGGTCAGCGGGACGCCGGATCTAGAAGCACAACCGACTAACATTACGATTGTGGCGGTCGATAAATTTTCGGATGATTTGAACGTTACTCTAGCAATCGACTTCGACAACAAGATCTTTGTTTCCAATCTCCCTGCCTTTAACGTGTCGGCTGGAGATGATATCTCGCTCGATCTCAACAAGTTTCTCTTCAACCCGGAGGACACGCAATTGACGGCCAAGATACTGCCCGATGACTCCTGGATCCGGTTCGATGACTCTTCTAAGATTCTGTCTGGAACAGTACCCAAGCCTTTCGATACAAAACTTGTAAACGATGTTCAAATTAGTTTCAGCGCGACTCAAAAGCTTACGAACGAAAAAGAGACTAAGGATATAAATATTCATGTGAACAGACCAATGATCACGGATGATCCTTCTCCCCCTGAGCCTACGAAGGGCCCTACTAAGGATCCTGCCAAGGGGGACGACTCACGTAGGGACCTATACTGGCTCCTCATCATTCCCGTCATGCTCGTTGCCGTTGTTATTATCCTGTCGGTCTTCATGGTGCGGAAACGACGGCACCAGCCGAGAAGATTGGACTTCTCAGAGGTATCAGGTCCCGTCCCCGGCACCTTCGTAGCAAATGGGTACATGGATCCCTCATTGGATGAGATACGGAAGATGGTAGATACGGGACCGCAGGCACCATATATAGGGCCTTATCCAATAACCCCATCCAATCGCAAAACGCTACAGGCAGCACCAAATCCGAAAATAGAAGTAGATCATATTACTCCACACGCCATGTCCAGATATTCCGGGGCGAATAAGCTGGCACAACAGGGAAATCTGATCACAGCTTCTTGGTTGGGCGGTCAACATACTCGGACGTCTCCCACAGGCACAGATGAAGTCAGTTTACTATCCAACTCAAGTCGCGGGCGAGGAACGAACAACAACGAAAACCTGTATGTAAAAAAACGAAGGCCAGGAGAGAAAATGCAGGAGAAGAAAATTGGCCTCGAGGTTCCAGAGACCGCCGAACCGTTAAGCATACAGCCGACACCGGATCTTGCTTACGCGATAACGGGAAGGTATGATTATATTTCCGATGAAGAAACGCAGCCTGTTATCGGTTCTGCAGGGCAACGAAACTCGGGTTACCAACAAGGTCAACATGGAGCTCAAAACAGGCTCTCCAAGGCTTGGAAAAGATTGAGTGCGTCTAAGACGGTAGACACAAAAAGGAATAGTCAAAATAGTGCATCGACAGACGAGACAACTTGTACAAGCATCCTCACCTCTGGGGTCACTGAGGAAGCGACTACAGCGAGCGCAAATGTCGTAGCCAGACCAACGATAATCCATATACCGGGCAGGCCAGGCGAGGCGCGACAACTGAGTAGAAGAACAGGTGGCTCGACAACATTTTTTGCTGGCGGTTCCTTTACACACTCGCAGCGGAACTTTGGTCTGAACAAGGACACAGCGTCAGTATCAGTGTACTCTCCCGTGAAAGACTCGGGACATCCTGCCGTGTTCAGAGAGCAAGAAATAGCTCGGGATGGTGATAAGACATGGGATCACTCGGACAGTACTCCTCTGGGCATCACATATCAAGACCCAAAAAGACGGACCCGGGATGAGAATTGGAATACTGGCGTTACAAGTCAAGAATTGATGTCTCCTGACCGGTGGCCCAAACCAGGTGTAACCCCAAGTCCTGCGGGCCGAACCGGTGTATTCGGGGGCCATACCGAGCCTCTTCGGCTTCCACCCTTTCGACTACCAGCCAAGACTGATTCACCAGTCACACCTAACGAGAAAGGAAAGAAACGATTAAGCCCTATGCGCAGACTGAGCCGGCTCCGTGGTTCTATATCGTCTCTTACGCAAACGCCATCGATACATACGCGAAGTAAAGGACGATCTTCTCGCGAGGAGCGGTTGCGTTTAAGCCGCCTCCGAGAGCAAAAAGCGCTTGACGGATTTAGAGCCATGATGTCGCATTCACCGTCACCGTCACCTCACAACGAGCGACCCCAGCCCAGCATTAGACCCTTGCCAGAGACGCCATCAAGGACAAGCAGACCGCCGCTAGCTGATCACTCAAATGAACCAAGAGGCTTGAGGAGCATGGCCTCGAAGCGAAGTGTCAAGACGCTGCGTAGTAACAAGAGCGTGCGGAGTGCGCGGGCGGATGATGATGACGACGACGATGCCTGGGAAGATATACCACCGCCGGAGTCGGTGATATTTGGATGGGAGGCAGATGGGAGTGATGGAAGCTTTCCGGTTTACATTTGAGATGCACGACCATGAATTGTGAGGCCGGTCTGTTTTGTATTACCTGATCTTTTTATACCTGGCTAGCATAGCAAGCTTACGTTTGAATTCGAGTTTCTCTTGAAGCACTTGCAACTCGGTTCACTGTGATGACTTACTCGTACTATGCGCCTGTTTACGGGCAGTGGACAATATTGAGATGAGGGAATACATAAAAGGACAAATGGAAAATGAATACTAGTTGGCAGTAATGTTCAGTTGTGTGATGCGAAGACCACATGAGTTGTCTCTCTTGGCGTAGTGTTTCGTGGTAGGTGCATCAAAGTAGCTATGTGATACCAGATGTAGCATCGATGGTAGATTCGTAA